TGACGAAATTATCGACGAAAATGGAGCCGTCGAATATCTCTTCGTGGAATTGTGGGTAACAGTTTTTTCGACGGAATTAGAGATTCCGTTGAAGTTTTTTGATTGAAAATAAATTCAATTCCGTCGAAAATTGTTGTGATGGGTTTCGACGGAAAACGGATTCCGTCGAAAATTTTCAACGAAAAATCAATGAATTTCTGTCGAAAATTGATGTAAAGTTTTTTGTCGAAAATTGTTGACGGAAAATTAATATAATTCCATCTAAAATTGTTGTTATGGTTTTCGACGAAAAATGGATTCCGTCGAAAAAATTTCAATGAAAAATCAATGAATTTTCATCGAAAACTGATGTAAAGATTTTCGACGAAAAACAAATTCCGTCCAAAAATTTTAGATTTTTTTTTTAAATTTCTCTTACAAAATCAATATTAATTTTCTGTATTGCACCTGATAAAAAAATATAATCAAAGAACGAAAAATCAATGAATTTCCGTCGAAAACTGATGTAAAGATTTTTGACGAAAAACAAATTCCGTCCAAAAATTTTAGAATTTTTTTTTAAATTTCTCTATTCAAAATCAATTTTAATTTTCTGTACTGCACCTGATAAAAAAATATAATCAAAGTAAGCAACATATCAAATCAATTCTCCTTAATCATTATATTAAATGCACAAAAGTCCATATTATATATTAGAAAGTATTAAAAAAGGCTTATACAATTAGCGAGCGGTGTATAATAAATATACATTGTAACCTTAAAAAATTAACAAATAAAAATTAACATATCATTACACAATACAAAACTCACTTCATAAATCAACAAAACAAAATACTTACTGGACTATGAGCCCCATCTAAAAAGGAAACAAATTTATTTGAGATTTCATTGTTGATGAGTTGATCAGGAATAATCTAAGCCCTTCCTTGCAAACTCGCTGTTGCTAACCCTTTTATGAACTGCTCTGACATAATGTGTTGCTTCGTGCAGGTAGATGAGTCACTGTTGTGCTGCACATGAAAGTGCACATGGTTGATACAAACTTCAAATAGCGTTTTTATTCTTTAAAAGAAAAATAAATGAAAGAAAATGACACAGGAGTGTGACTCCCATATCGGTTAGGTGTGAGACATAGAGCTCCTGTCTAGTTGTGGGCTCTCCAAATCAGGAAAGAAAAAAAAAATTTACTCTTAAAATTACCTTGAAGATACCAGCCTTCTCACCAGCAATTTCTCCAAGAGTATTCCCAATTAGTAGAATCCAGTAGACCGAAGTAAACCAAACTAGCTAAACAAATCAGTGGTTATGAAACATGATGTTCAACCATATTCTGATACTTCATACATATTATTACAATTTTCTTAGAAGGTATATTTTTTTCCAATTTACCTTGCACCATATGCTTACTTCGTATAAAATATCAAATTTCGTTGAAAACTCTACAAATTTTCGTCGGAATTCATTTTTCATGGAAATTTTTTTACGGAATCCAAATTTCGTCGAAAACTACTCAAATATAATTTTCTTTTTACATTTATTTTTTCCAAGATTTTCAACGGAATTCATTTTTCGTGAAAAATTTTCGACAGAATCCAAATTTCATTGAAAAACTCCACAAATATAATTTTCTTTTTACATTTATTTTTTCAAAGGTTTTCGACAGAATTCATTTTTTGTGGAAAATTTTCGACGGAATCCAAATTCCTTCAAAATTGCACCAATGGAGAGAAAAAAAAAAACTCCATTATATAATAGTAAGAGACAAGTCATCCATCCTCCAATTTTATGTTTATGGAAACTCTATTGTAGCCAGTACGATCAATTTCATTTACTTGGGGTTGCAGTCGGTCAAAGTCCACACAGGACAAATATATAGCTACGGGATTGCATTTGGTCAAAGTCCACACTGGATAGGAACTGGATAATAATGAATGCAAGTTTAAAATAACAGGATATCATTTTCAAATGAAGAACTGGATAATAATGAAGAAATGCGACATACTTAATAAAATTGGACAATCTTGAACATAGCTTGTGATATCGGTCAATTTCATTTAGGGTGTTTGTAATGTGGATATCTAATTCGTTTGATTTTTGTGGTGGAACAATGTCCATGCTTGTGGCAGTGCAAAATTAACCGAAGCATAGGATTTTTATTTACCAAAAAAGAACGAAAGAAATAAAGATAAGATTTTTCATAGTCAGTAAGTATGGTTACGGCATAAACTCATCAATAGCCAAAGTAGCTATATAGTAGCAACTTGAGCAAAGTCACAAAACGTGTCAATCAAATAGCCAAAGTAGCTACTCAATGTAGTGACTTTGGCAAAAATAAAATAAAAAATAGACTAAAATAACTATATCATGGAGCAACTTTAATTAAATAATTGACTAGGCTTATGCAGTCGGTATAAACATGTCTTGTAGCTAAACTATAGTCATTACATTATCTAGCGATTTTATTGCTGTGACTGTTTGAAAAAAGATATTAAAATCGTGGTATTGAAGTAGTTTTTATTACAAAACATGAATCGAAAGTCAATGTCACGCGTATGAAAATGATCATATATATCTCCACTTTCAACTTAAGTTTCACCTTGTCAAACACGTGAGGTTATACTAGACCATTTCAGTTATTTGCTTTTGACTTTTGGGTACAAATGGGCTGGACTGGAGAACGTGATTAATGCCATAGACTAGAAAATTGACATTTTTTTTTTTTTGATAACAGAAAAAAAAGAGCCCAACTTTTTAAATATTCAATAAAATTTATTTATTTATTTATTTAATAAATAAGTTTAAGCTTAGTTTTAGATATGATTATAGAATTAAGTTTAAAATTCATATGATTAACAACTAGGAGTGTAAATGAGTCAGGCTAGTCTGGCGTGACCTATATTTGGCCTGGTCTAGTCTAGCCTTTCTAAAAAAAAAGAGTAGGCTTAAACTTATAGGAAATTTTTTTTAATAAATAGGTCATAGACCAATTTTGTTAAGTCTGGCCTAAAGTCTTACAGGCTAGCCAATTTAATTTTTTAAAATAATATAATATATTTTAAAATTACTTCAAAATAATTTTTTAAAATAATTGTATTTCCTTCTTACTTTCCCCATTTCTTTGACTCTATTCTTTCATGATATACATTCGAGAGCTGCAGTATTATGTTGACTCTTTTTTATTTGCCATTTTTTATTTCTTATGAGAAATGTCAGTGCATAAACTTCCTTTGCTCTGTACAATTATTTTCTTTGCTTAGTATCTTCATTGGGAGACCTATAAGACCTGTAGGCCATATCAGACTTTATAATTTTTAACAATAGGGGTCTGACTTATATACGAGACCTTTAATAAGCCAATAGGTCAAAAAGGCTAAACATTTTTTTACGTAGGCTTAGGCCATGAAGGCCAAAGTCTGGCCTAACCTGGACCATTTACACCCCTATTACTGGCGGACCCATGTTGGGTCACATGTCCGCAAGTGCGGACATGTGATTTTGGATTTTAATTTTTTTTTTAGTTATGTAGGTTATTATTTGTCTCTTGGTTCAATATAGTAGGAGTAAATATCATTTTAAGTCTCTAACAAAAAATATGGTCTCCATTTTAGTCCCTTATAAAAAATTAGTCTCGAAGAGGTTCCTAAAAAATTCAAAGTGGATCAATTTAATTAAAATCGTGGTCCCTCACAAATTAAAAAAAGACCTACATTAGTCTCAAAAAGACTAAAATAGGTCTACTTTAAATCTCATAGGGACCAGGTGACTCTTTTTTTTTATAATGAACTAAAGTGAGGACCGAATTTTTTGTTAGGGACCAAAAATGATATTTATTCTTATATTAGTTAGCAACGTACAGAGATGATTAAAACAACGTAGCAACACAAATTGATTAGAGAGAAAACTTATTCTTCCTCCCATGTCACGTACCCATTCTCATGATTTCTTCATCCTTTGTTACGGAAGCAATTAGATTATGAGTGGGTTCAAGCGTTAATTTAAACTTCTTTTACAAAAAAAAAATTCGGGGGCACCCCGCCACTAAATGTGCGGACATAGAAAAATTTTCCTGGGTCCGCCAATGACCCCTATTGACAACTAATTTTTGTAAGCAACTCCCTTACACACGCGCGCAATGAATAAAATAAATTTTTTAAATAAAACAACATAATAATAATTTATATATTTTTATTTAACGAATTATAATCCTATACAGAAAATTAGAGGAATTTAATGTTCAAATAATATTTTATTTTATTTTATTTACTTTTATTTTTTCAATATATAAAATGTCTCATAAATATTTAATTAAAAAAATTTAAAAAATAAGAGACTTGATAAAGAAAAAAATTTATGTTATGAAAAAGTTAAACAAATTAAACTCAAATTTTATAGTTTTAAACAAGTTAAGTTGAAACTTTAAATTTTACTCATTTAAATGAATAATTTAAGTTTGAATATAAATTTTTCTCTTCACAAATTAATGTCAAAGCTTTAAATTGATTGATTTACACTTATAATTGATTATACTATATAGCACAAACATTCTTTAATTTCCCCAATTAACTTACCTTATAGCTTCTTATGTAAAAACCAATAATAATAAAGGAAAGCAAAAATCAGTCAACCCGTCAGGTTAACTCATAACCCAAATAAAATGAGGTGGGTTGGGTTGACAAAAATGAGTTGACAACCCGAGCCAATCTGACTTGAGCCATCTCGAAAAAAATCGAGTTAACTCGCAGATTAAACGGGTCAGCTCGCGGGTTATCCTTTTTTGATTATTTACATTTTTTGGTTTGTGTTTTGTAGACGATGATGATGATGAAATCGATGATGATGATGATAATAAAATTACCTTGCTAAAATAATGTTGTTACATAATACGAGACTTGTTGCTAAAAGTTTTAAACTCGTACTTCAGTAGCATTTCAGTGGCAAATCAAAAGTTTGTAAAAACTATAAAAGCAGACGAAAATAAGCCATTGAGGCAATTACACGGAACACCCCCACAAGAATATAACCGCAGCATGAGAAGAAGGAGAGGAGAGAATAGAAAGAAATATACAGTTCGTGGCAACGACAAGCATGAGGTGTTGGAAAGAAAGCAAAGAGTTGTCAAAATTCAAAATACATAAGCATAGAGAAAGATTCGTAAAGTTTCTGCGGTTTTAAGCCCCAAAAGACAAACAAAACACATGACATGACATAGGGCAAAGAAGCAGGGATCAAGTTGTTTCATGACATCAGTCAGGTTTCTTTGTAGATGTAAGATGGCTTTATCTGTCCAGCAGCAAAGGACCTAAACCTGTGTAGGAATCATGAACAAAGAGTGTTGTAAACTGATACATAAAAACTCTGCCCGACTTCAACTCTTCTCCCTGACCAACACTTTTTAACTGAATATAATATCCAAATATGTTGAATTGAAAAATATACCAATAAATATGTGAATTATTATGAACAAAGGTAGGACGTATATAACACAATAGAAACTAGATTTATCAAGGGAAAAGTGAAAGTCAGCCCCTACTCCCACTCCTTCCTCTCCTTGTTGTAAGATAACATGCAAGAACATCTGTGCTAATTTCCTATCTTAGTAATATACATGTTTGTAATAGGTCAGTCGTTCATTTAGACATTCACAGTCACCGCTTCCTTTTCCCACTCTTTAATGAAGGAAAGACAGCAATTGAGTATTATGACAATGACAGCAAATTTTACACCTGCATCAGTTCAGGTCAGGGAACTATGAGAACCAGCATGCTTATGATGACAATGACCGCAAATTTAACACCTGTATCAATTCAGGTCAGGGAACTATGAGAACCAGCATGCTTATTATATGATAAGTGCGAGGCTGCGAGCTCAAAAGTTTACCTTCAGTTGCAAGAAACATATGTACGCAATTAAGACTCGGATGCAAGAAGTCCTATCAGTTGGGTAAGATGGTTAACATTCTGTATCTTATCCAATTTTTCCTGTTTATTTTCCTTTTCTGACGGCAAACCCTGGTTTTCGGTCAAGCCACATCCTAGAGAGCTACATTTAATTTCTTCTGTGTCTCCCGTAAGTGGACTTGGCCTAAAATACAGTTCCCAGAATTCATCATTGATTCCTGGGAGTTTAGAAATTTCATCAGCATCAGGCGAAAAATGATAAGCTTCTACAGAGTATGTCTCATCCAGAACAGCTGATATCATATCTATCTCCTCCATGTTCCCAGTGTCAACCCCCGCAAAATTAAGATCAAGATCCACTGAACTACTTTCCGTTTCCATCCCTTGAACTTCACAAAAATCTAGAACATTGTCTTGACAATTATGCACGTTTAACACTGGAAATTCAGCAGTTTTGCCACAGTCAGTCAACACAGCAGGTGGAGACTGCACCTCAGATATGCTATTGGGCATACAATTGGAAAGGGTCACATTAGAAACCTGAGTAGTTGAACTACTGCTATCTAACGCAATGGGAGAAGGAATGTCGTCAATAAGGAATGCATCAGGGTTCTTAATTGATGATTCCGTTGTTGTAGAATTATTTATTTGCAATATCTGGTGAAGTAATGCCTTTGCAGCCTCATTTGTGGAAGTCTGGTACTTGACAACACGACCATCAAGAGAATTATGGAGATTCTTGGTAGCTAAACTATCTTCTTCCTGGCCATTGAACCTCCTCTTTTTATTGCCTCCAGGAATGTGTCTATTACTTTCATTTTGCTGCTCTACAAATTGAGCAAAGAAGCCTGGACTCTGCATGGCCTTTGCCAGGAATGACATCATATGCTGCTGACGCTGCTCCATTACCTGCACACGTTGCCCAACACTTTGCATTTGGTTATCAGTGCCTTGCTGTTGCTGACTTAACCTAACAAGTTCTTGCATAAGAACATTCTTATCCCTTTTCAGTCGTTCCACCTCTTCCTCAAGCCCAAACTTACCCACTTCAACGCATGCCCCAACAGTTGAGTTATGCGCTTGAGAGGATTGTTGACTACCATTTCCTTGAGTAGATTTCCGCCTACAGATACTCTTTAAGAGTTGTTTCTTATCCCTTAAAAATCCTTCATTTGCAAATTCCCATCGATCTGGGTCAACCTTTCTAAAACCCTGCTTGTCAATCAAAAGGAGATGAGTGAATAAAGACTAGAAAAACATTGTACAACTCATTCAGCATGATTAAAGCTAAATGTAATATTAATAATGCATGAAGGGAAGATGGCATGTTAAACAATTATCTCTTTTGACTGCATGAGATACAAGTAAAATTTCTTAGATAGCAGAACAGATTTTGTGATAGTTAACTAACTTCGTTGAAGAGTGCCCTCTAGGGGACCTAATTTACCAAAATCTGTGAGTCCCAATGAAGAGAACTTGCAAAAGTTTAGATTGGCGAGAAAAAATGCAAAGAAAGCAGTGCGGGAAGCTAGAGGCAAGGTTTTCGCCGATTTGTATAAAAATCTTGGGAGCAAGGATGGTGAAAAAGGTATATGTAAACTTGCAAAAATAAGGGATAAGAAAAGTAAAGACCTCACCCAAGTTAGATGCATCAAGGATGATAATAAAAAACTTTTGGTGAGAGATAAAGATGTAAATGAAAAATGGATGAACTACTTTAACAAGCTGTTTAATGGGGATGGCGTTAAAAGCGAGGTGGACTTGGAGGATGCTTATGATGATTTGAATAGAAGATTTGTGCACAAAATTAATACACATGAAGTTAAGGAGGCTTTAAAGAGGATGAAGACTAATAAAGCCTTGGGACCTGATGGTGTCCCAATTGAAGTGTGGAAAGGCTTGGGGGATGTGGCAATAAAATTGTTGACCAACCTTTTCAATAAGATTCTTCAGGCAAATAAGATGTCTGATGCATGGAGGAAAAGTATGATTGTGCCGAATTACAAAAACAAGGGAGATATATAGAATTGTTCTAACTATAGAGACATTAAGCTAATGAGCCATACTATGAAGTTGTGAGAGAGAGTTATTGAACATCGCTTAAGAAGAGACACCAAGGTTTCTGTAAATCAATTTGGATTTATGTCAGGAAGATGTACCATGGAAGCCATTTTCTTGATGCGACAATTAATGGAAAGATATCGAGAAAAGAAGAAGGACTTACATATGGTGTTCATTGATCTTGAGAAAGCATATGATAGGGTTCCAGAGAATGTTTTATGGTGGGTTCTTGAGAAGAAAAAAGTACCATCAAAGTATGTAAAAGCAATCAAGGATATGTATAATGGGGCTACTACTTGTGTGAAAGCTTGTAATGGAACATCAAGTTATTTTCCTATCGCGGTAGGTGTACACCAAGGTTCGGCCCTAAGTCCTTATCTCTTTGCCTTAGTTATGGATGAACTAACAAAAAATATTCAAGAGGAAGTGCCATGGTGTATGCTTTTTGCAGATGATATTATGCTTATTGATGAGAACAAAGACGGTATTAATAAGAAACTTGAATTGTGGAGAAGCACGTTGGAATCCAAAGGATTCACGTTAAGTCGGAGCAAGACTGAGTATTTGAAGTGTGAGTTTTCTCTGGCAAGAGATGAAGACCAAGATCCCGTGCACCTACTTGGTCAAGAGGTACCCAAGAAAGATGCTTTTAGGTACCTGGGATCCATTTTGCAAAAAGGTGGAGAGATTGATGAGGATGTAAATCATAGAATCAAAGCAGGGTGGATGAAATGGCGTAGTGCATCCGGGTTTTTGTGTGACCGCAAAATCCCCCTTAAGTTAAAAGGAAAATTCTATAGGACAGCAGTAAGACCTGCAATGCTATATGGAGCTGAATGTTGACCAACACATAAGCAACATGAGCATAAAATGGGAGTAGCAGAGATGAGGATGTTAAGGTGGATGTGTGGTTATACGATGATGGATAAGATGAAAAATGAAGATATTTGACGAAAGGTAGGAGTACTACCGGTGGCTGAAAAGATGAGAGAACATAGACTGAGGTGGTTTGGGCACATAATGAGAAGTCCCCTGGATGCTCCCGTAAGAACAAAAGTTTGTTACCAAGAGCTCAACACAAAGAAAGGTAGAGGTAGACCGAAACTTACTGGGGGAAGGTAGTAAAGCAAGACTTAATGGATTGAGATATAGATTGGCGGACGGTGTACCTTAGAACGAAATGGAGAAAATCTATATGCATGGTGGAGGGTTAGACCCGTTGTTATTCCTATGTTCCAGATGGTTCCTTTTTAGTCATTTTTCCTCTTTATCTCCCCCCTCTCTTCTTTTCTCCTTCTTTTATCACTTTTATATTTATATTTATATATAAAGGGGTTTACTAATCTCATGTTACATGAGATAGTACTCTCATGTGGATGATACAAATATGTGGGATCGACAATTTAAAAAGAAAAGAAAAAATTGGCACAAAATTCTATAGGTGTATAACATGAGATAGGTATCTTATGTAACATGAAACTATTATTTTCCAATTATATATTATTACTATTTTATTTATTTATTTTTATTTTTATTTTTTATCTTTTTTATCTTTTTTCAACTATTTCGTATCTTTTATTTGGGTTCATCTACCACCGAACTCAATTAATTTCGAATAAATGTGTTGTTGATGTTGATAATACTGAAGGTAATTGTCTTTAATATTGTGTTTCTAATTACATCCTTTGCTCCCTTTTCAACCACCTACCCTAAAGTTTCATCATCTACAATCACTGTCGATGAAGGACAAATTCTAGACGCTGGTAGCACCAGCTAGAGTATCCTTAATTTTGGCAGTCTATCCATCTGACTAATGTATCATTGTTCAAGTGTATTAATAGCAGAACTTACAGGCAATATGAACTCCAAATGAAGAAATATGCAGCAAAGCAAGAGGACCTTAAACTATCAATTACGCACAATTATTGACTATCATGAAATTTCAATTTAAGTAGCAAAATTTGCTACCAAAAGCCAAGTAAATGCAGTTTCAATCATGTTGTGAAAAGAAAAGCTGAAAATTGCATTAACTAATGTTGGATATATTAATAATATAGTTCAATAGTATGTTCACATATAAGCCCAATAAGTTTCAACATGGTTATTTGAGCTTATATGGGCTCGAGCCCAATAGCTTGCATTATCTCTAGGATTTCCTAGGGTGGAGATAACACATTGTTGAGCGTTCCAAATTTGATGTCTCTTGGGGTAATACTGAAAGCATCTAAAAACCCTTCTCTCTCAAACACGTAACCTCCAACAACTAATCCATCAAACCAAACATGTAGTTTTCTCAGAATTAATCTTGAATTTACTGGAATTAACTCCTAAACAACTAAAGTCAGATGCAGGAAGAGACAAAAAAAAAAAGATAGACCAACAACATCTTTAATCAAAGGTCAAACTTAGTTTCCTCATACACAAATTGACATCTTTTAATTTATAACAAGAGACAGTAAGAGTAAGAGAGAGAAAGGCATATTCATTCAGTGAAAATTTGAGTTCACTTTGCTAAGTTACTATGCAAACCAAGATGTAACCAAAAAAAAAAAAATTTCCAAGCTAATCCAAATTTACTAAAGTCGAGCGAGCATAACCAATGAAGGTGTAAACTGACCTGCAAATTCGAGATTCATATCAATCAATTCATCCACCCCATAACAACATGAAAATACGATTCCCACGTTATTGGGAATAAAAACAAGTCTTGAAGAATTGTGAATAATCAATTCAATGGAGAAATATAATGATTATAAAAATAAAGAGATGCCCACGTAAGTATTTAACTGCCTGACGAAGCTGGAGAAGTTGTTGTGCTTGAAATGCTTAGGCAAGATGTCTCTGGCGAATTCTGGAACGTTCCAAACAACAAAGGTGTTGTTGTTATCACCCCACGACACCACCGAGTTGGTCGACGGTTCATCCACCATGTCGTAGGTCTTGCTCAGGAACGGTGTTACATTGACACAATTCCACGATCCCCCTTCCATTATCGGAAACCAGATCAAATCAACAAAACCACCACCTTCTTCTTCTGCTATGCTCTCTGTATACACAGCTATAGGTATCGCTTCTTCTTTTTCCCCCGAGAGCAACGGTGAAAAGGAAAGTATCACACGCTGAAGCTGAAACAGTGAAACGTATTTATCATGTTAGTATTTATTAGTATTCAAAAAAAATAAAAATGTATTTATTAGTTTTCAGAAAGGGAAATCATTTTCTTATGCTACCTCATAGAATTATGTCAGGTAGCAGAGACAATATTATAGATGGGACCCACAAAATAAGAGGAAAGAGAAAAAATAGAGATGGGACCCACTTCGATTTTGTGTGTGTAGGAATTTAACTTCTCTCATATGAAATGAGAGAAATATAACCTTTTCAAAAATTAGTATTCATTAGTATTAAAAAAAAAAGTATTTATTTATTATTATTTTAATCTTTCATGTATGTAAGTAATTATTATTTTTAATTGAGATAGAAAGAGCTTGTTTCAATAAATACTAGACTCGTGGTAAAATTATGAAATTAATATTTATCATGTTATATGATATATTTTTATTTTTTATATATACATAAAAATATGCACAATTCATATAAATAAATAAAAGAAAAAATATCGACCATATATATTTTTATATATATGTAAGAAATAAAATTATTTTCTAAAATATTTTTTTATTAAATGTTTGATTTTTGATAAAATATATTTCTTGTATTAGTGATGTTTTATGAAAATGATAAGCAAAGAATCCGCGGATTTATAGAAAATTTAAAAGTATTTAGAATTAAAAAAAAAATAAAAATGGATGAGTGGTTTGAGGAGCGATGGATTTTATAATTTATGAGTTAGTTGTTGGTTATTAATCTAAGAGATTATCGTTTCTTCGTAAATATGAGATAAAGTTATCTCCGTTAACTTAATAAAAAAATTATCTCCATTATTAAAGTGTATGTCATGAATTTCATTTATTTTTTGTTATATGACTTTTATCAAAAACACATTTCATTAATATTTTTAACCCCAAAATAATATAATTTTGGGAGTGATGAGGGTAACTTTATTTTTATCTTATATTGATGGAGGAATAATAAACTCCTAATTTATTACTAAAAATTACAAATAATTAATATATTTTCACCTAACATTAGTGATGCTAAATTTTAAAATGACTATTGTGAATATCCTCTCCAATAGCAAACAACAAAACACAAAATAAACATGACACTCACTGACACATGTAGAAACGTTGTGGAATAAGGATAACACAATTTTCCTTCATAAAAAAAAAGAAAAAGGATAACGCAATTTTATGGTCATGCCTTGCAAACATTTCACAATAGCAGAATTTTGTGTGAGTATTGCATGACGGTAATGCTTGGTAAAGGAGAAAAAAAAATTTATTTGTAAAAATCTTGATTTTCATAAATATAATGAAAATATTTAGTTTACGATAATATTCGAAAATTAAAAATTTAAAAAAATTTAATTTCTCAAAAATTCTACAAAATATCTTGTACCAAACACCCCGGTACTATAAGGCTCAATTTACCGGAGAACTGGATTAAACCGAAGAAAAAATTGATCCATATTCCTCTATGAATTGACTACCCTCGTATAGAGTCGGTTGTATTAGGTTGACATATCAAAATATATAACCCAACTTTTATATATATATATATATATATATATATATATATATATATATATATATATGTATGGGAAAAATATTTCTCAAGTTGTTTAAGATAAATTTATCTCCGGTCACTCTAAAACTACGTCATTTTGATTATTTATTTCCTTATATTTATTGATTCACCTTTGAATGGTTATGATTATTCTTTTCTCTCTCTTCATTTATCACCATTGATCCATCTTTGTACGATTATGATTTAGTAACCGATGATAAATTTATCTCCGGCGGCTTGACAAATGATAAGCCCTATATATATATATATATAGGAGAAATATTCTTACTATTACAATTTTCCACTACCAACTTACTACACATCTAATCACCATTGGATCAATATTTTCTATTTCTTCATAAACTTTTTAGCATTCTCTCTCTTTGACGAATGATGATTAGATTGGTAATAGAAAATTTTGGTAGGCAGAATATCCTCCCTCATATATATATATATGAGAAAAATATTTTTCAAGCTGTTTGAGACAAATTTATCTCCGGCCACCCAAAAACTACATCGTTTTGATTATTTATTTCCTTATATGTATTGATTCCCCTTTTCTCTCTCTTCCTTTATCACCATTGATCCATCTTTGTACGGTTATGATTTAGTAGCCGGAGATAACTTTATCTCCGGCAGCTTGAGAAATGATAAGCCTTATATATATATATATATATATATATATATATATATATATATATATATATATATAGAAATATTTTTCTCATGTTGCACGAGACAAATTGTCTCATGTAACACACAAAAAAGTGAGAAGAAGAGAGAAAAAGGAAAAAAGTGGATCATACTCACTTTTTTATGTGTTGCATAAGACAATTTATCTCATACAACATGAAAAAAACATATCATATATATATATACATTGAAATTAATATTTGTTCTTATATAAATTTGTGTCATTTATTCAAAATTATTGTGTTTTATGACGAGAGAAACAAAAATTATAACGAGAGAAAGTGAAAGACTTTTTTTTAAAAATTAAGATATTAATATTTATCATATTATAGAAAATAATTTTATTTTTTATATGCAGCAAAATATATGTGAAACCTACGTTATTTTTTTTTTCTCGCGATACCAGATGGGTTATACACTTTTATCAGTAATAATTTCTTAATTTAAAAGAAGTAATAACTTTGTGAGAAACCATAATTCCTTAATTTAAAAAGTAATAATTTCCCCATAATATATTACGTAAATAGTTAGAAAATATGATATTTGTTATCCAAATTTTAATGTAAAAATTATGAATGGCTCAGGTGTTGTCTAACATAATCTGAAATTGAAACTGCCATACTGAACTGAAATGCGAAGCTCTTAATCACTGTTGAACGAGGGCGAAGAACATAAAAAAAGAAGGCCATGGTTGTGCTTGTTCCTCTTCCCGCATGTCCTGATTCCCTTTCTTTCCACCATTCGGTTCATAGTCATACAACCCTTTTCCCCTTCTCAATCTCAAGGCCGAGGAGCTCCAGTTTCTATTCACAATCTCGGCTAGGTATAGCTAAGGCCACCCTTTTAACTAACTCCGAATGGTTCCAAGTGGGACGATCCATTGGGAGCTATGGCTTCATGAACGTTACCAGGTTTCATCTCTTCATCCCTTTTTTTTTTTTTTTTTTTTTTTTTCTATTTCGGTCTTCAAATAAATGCCTCACTGCAACAAGAATCTTTCCCATTCATGACATTTGCACTTTTTAAAACGTTGGTCTGAACATACAATTTGAGAAGATCGAGATTTCCATTGGGTATATAAAAAAATCTTATTTTTTTGTTTTGTTTTTGGATATCTATTTTATAGTGATTTTTTTTTTTTTTTTTTTTTTTTGGTGATAAGTCATTTTATTTGCCCTTCATTTGGCCAGCTACTCAGCCTTTCCCTCAGGGACAGGCAATGAATATTCATATGCAGATTTGGGAGAACTGAAAACTCAAGATGTTGGAGAAGGCAGTGTAAAGATCAGGTAAATGTCATGGTTTCCAATTAGAGGTGAATAGGAGCTACATTAAGATAGAAAGGCCAAATTAAAAATTCTGCCTTTGTGGGTACTGATAATACTTATGGCAGCTTCGTTGCAGGCTTTATGAAGGGAGAGTTTCCCAGGGTCTACTTAGAGGAACTCCAGTTGTTTTTAAGGTCATATCATAATCAATGTTTTTAGCTGTTCATGTTTATTCTTTACAGAAATTGTTGTATTGAGCATATAGACTCTTTAACAATGAAGGTTTATCCTGGAAAACGAGCTGGCGGAGATGAGGCTGATGTGATGGCTGCAAATGAGTTGAATTCACACTTGGTTCTTCAAGTGAGATAATTGGATATGTGTATCACCTTCTAGATAATTTAATCAGTTGATATCAATTCATAATAATCTTTTTAATCCTTCTTGCTGGTTTGCATTTTTGCTTACAGGGCAATTCTAAAGGTATCAGCCAGCATATTATGTTCCTTGTAGGTGGATTTGAAACAAGTACCGGAGAGCAGGTATGTCCTATGAAATTAACATCAATTCTTTCACTTCACATACTTTGGCTCCAATTCTGTTAATTGTGTTAGACAAACCTATTTTATCCAGTGGCTTGCTTTTCGTGATGATGGGAAATATAGCGCAGCAGACTATGCCAAAATTGCAAGTGAGAAGGTATCAAAAGACCAACTATCTTCCTGGAATCGCTTTGAACGAGGACAAAAAATCAAAAGAAGACAATATTTTATTATAAAGCTGCTTCAAGGTGCTATGAGTGGTCTAGCTTACATGCATGACCACGGCAGATTGCACCAGAGTCTAGGACCATTTTCTGTGGTTCTCAAGTATGCAGTTAGCAAGAATTTAATTTTTTCAAGAGTTTCCATTTGTCTTATATTTTGTTCTCACTCTACCATTAATGTGTTTTAATATGATGGCAGCACAATTTCAGAAAGAGAAGCTCGTTATTTGATTCCTAGACTTCGGGATCTAGCCTTTTCTGTTGATGTAAGGTAAGGTAATGATTTTCCAAGCCCTTTTTTGTGTGTGTGAACTTTGAATTTCTGTTTGTATGTGATGGCACCTGTGTTATCACGGTGGTATTTCAACCCACAATCCACGGAACAATTCCAATCTGATTCATACATTCAGAACAGTTTAATTACGCACATAACAACTATATTGTATTTCATCTTCAAATATTCATTCATCAATTACAAACTCAACTTGACAACTTTACTGCTACTAAATAAACGGACAAACTTCTCTACTAATATTCTTGACTCCAACTTATCACACAGTGACAAGGCAATACAGATTCCATTAACAATAACGAAGAAATTATAACTCGACTCTACTATCAAAGGTACCGATTTATTATATGGCAATAGAGGGACACCAGAGAACACCTCCTCCAATGCACCTACGGATATCAAGACCTCCACCCTCAGCTCCCTCTACAAACGTTTGCAGAGCTCACTGTTCTATACCCCTTTTGTTTGGTCATTCCCCCTTTTCTTCAGCTGCTCTCACCTCCTTATAACCTCCCCATACAACGTTTCTCTGCTCCACCATCTCATCTTCTCCATTCAGCAGCTGCCAGCTGTCCCTTTCTTCTCTCTCTTTAACTAACTTAATTTTCTTATTTTCTCCCGCAATTATCCTTGTCACCCTTTTTTCACTACTTCCTTGTGGTCTGGATCAACTCTCTCCACATCATTTCGTTGGGCTGGATCAACTATCTCAACATTATTTTGTTGGGCTGGCCCTTTTCTGCACCTCTGTCTTTTGTAAACTCTTGGCAAAGGCTCGAGAGATCCATCAGTATGTAATGTATTGCTCTGTTAATTGAAAACCATTGGTGTAATCTACTTGTATTTTTTTTTCTTTTTTACGGTTATATTTTTTTTATACTGTATCTTTAGATTTCCTAGTTTTGCAAGGTAGGAGGTCACTCTGATGCCCGTGCTTGAAATTGCTGCTATGTTTGCTGTACGTTAACATTCTGCATACGATCTGAAGTAGATGATAACATAAATAGCGCTACATATAATTAATTCATTCCAGGCACTTAGAAGAAGATGATTCAGAATTACTTCCAGAAGGGCTTAGAAGACGAGCTTCAGGTGCTGGTGCATTCACACGAATGGAGAAAAGAGCTTTTGGAATAGCTGATGATATGTAAGTTGTCAGAGCTTGGGTTAATGCAGAAGTTTGTTTCAGCATCTTTTTCAGGTTGCCTATTTATTTTGAGTTCCGATACAGATACGAAGCAGGTCTTCTTTTTGCATACTTGGCTTTTGTTCCATTTTGTGAAGCTGGTGTAATGGATAGCCTTTCCTTGCAAGTAAGCTGTGCTGCCAATATGACTTCGTCTTTGGTGGCAGATAATTCTTTTCCGTGAAAGTTTTCTTTGTCATAAGATAGTATCTTCACTGAAGTATTTATTCACAATGAAATTCAGAGGCTTTTGGAGAACACTTTCCAACTTGATCTTGAAGCAACACGAGAGTAAGATATCTTCTAGTTTATGTTTCTGGTTTAACTAATACAGACATTAGACATCTGTTCTTTTGTAATATAATTTTCCCTTCGATTGAGGTATTTATTATGGGTATGAGTTGTTCATAGAACAAACAGCTGAAATAAAAAGACTTGGGGGGTGTTTGTGAATTTTGAAAACTAGTTTAAAATAGTGTAGGATGGAAGCCGTCGTGCAAGTCCATATGTAAACAAGCCAGTTCAAAATTGGACTTGGTTTGGTTCAAAACTAATTCTAATATGGAATTCATTTATATAAATGTGAGGATTCTGTTTATCTAAATTCAAAAAACTTGGCATGCTTATTGGCATGTGAGGATTCTGCTTATATGTCATCTAATAACAATGCTTTAATCAAGCAAACAGAGAGAAAAAAGGAGAATGAAAAAGAAGACACAGAGTATGGAAAAAATTGGATTAGAACAAAACCAACTTTAAGATGATTTCTTTTAGAATTAGTTTTATCTCAAATAAGAACCAGTTTTGAAAAATTTAGGTAGTTATCCAAACACCTCACATTTTAAAACTAACCCAACTGCACTTAGATATCTAGCTTTTAGAAGTTCCAAACACCCCCTTAAAATGAAAGTGCAGAGATATCTAGAGGAAGGACAATAGAATTTCTTGAAGACTAAGCACATTTTGATACATCACTTTCCTCTCATTCAACCCATTTCTTGTACATGGTACGCTTAAGATACTTCGCATTCTATTAAATAGTTCATCCTTCCCCAATCAATTTACATAATTTGATGGTTTAATTAATGGAATGGATCCAAAAGTTCCTGATGTCTTGTAGCTACTGCTCCGAAGTTAAAGGGTAGTATGTATTTTTGCCGGACTAAATTTGCATTTTATCCAGCATGGCTGAACTCTGAAGAAACCAGTGCCTAGTGAAACTGTATATTTATGTTTTATTATTTCATTGCTTTGTTTTATTCTTCCTTTGGCAGGTATTGTATGGCAGATGACAGATTAGTAAATGCTGTCGAGTTCCTGGATCTTGGGAATGGTGCTGGTTGGGAGTTACTTCAGGTATTTATATATGTCTTCTATATGGGCAACTATTACTGAATGGCTTTGAGGGAGTCTGTGTTACAATACTTAACTGATTTACAAAAATGTCTAATCCTAAGAAAAGTTTATTTGTTGTTGTTGTTATTATCATCATTGTTTTTCAAAATTCGCTAGTTTTATTTTCGTTCTTTTAGGTAATAACTTCAAATAGTTTCTGTTTGCAAAAATTGTTTAATTATGGATTACTGAAAATGCTACTCCTTCCAACGTAAACAATTTCTTTAATGTATTATCGTAGAAATGTTATGCAATTAAACCATGAAGATGTAGTAATGTCTTTTCTTCTAGCATTTTTTTGGTTCACCAAAAGCTTGTTCTATTACTTCTTCATGTGTGAACTATTCCAATTCAGGAGCTATACCAAAAGTTTATGCTGTTGTACTCATGATTTGTAGGCAATGCTTAATGCTGACTTTCGAAAGAGACCGACTGCGGAGGCTGTTCTCAATCATCGGTTTATGAATGGAACAGTCCTTTGAGTTTCAAGATCAAAGAATATGGTTGTTTTTGTCTTTATGAAAAATCTAGCACATGGTTTCCCATGCCATTTATGTTTATCTGTAAATATTCCATACGTTTTTAGAAGAAATATCTTGAATTTGCATTGCTTTCTTACAAGTTGCAATGCTCATGTGAATATTGTATCTTCTAATTTTTGCACCGTTCATATGTAAGTGACAAAACAACGAAGATCCTGTGATTGCGTCTTATTCAAGTAGACTCGTTTAAAATTCGTATTTTGCCATTTACAGCTATACAAGAACAGAAAATTGGGGTAGGGGAGAATCATCCCCTGTGGGGTTTGATGCACAAGATTGTTTTGCTGAGAGACCAAGAATGGCAGGTAACCTTTGTCTACACATTTAGGGAAGGGAATGGAGTAACGGATTGGCTTGCAAATTATGCTACCTCTTTAGGAAAGGAGACTGTTTATTTTGATGTTCCTCCATACGCTTGTCTTGGAGCTGTTAATAGGGATTATAGAGGGATAGCCTGGCCCCGTTTGATTAGGGACCTGTAATCTATTTTTGCTTTCATTGGTATACAAAAAAAAAAAAAGAACAGAAAATCAAGATATGAAATCTAAAATTAAATTTATTATAAGAAAGGTCTTTCTCAGTGTTATACATATATATAATAAACATTTTTTAAATTCAAGCTGCTTTCATGTCTCTACATACAAGTAATGCACACCTCTTATGAATTTGCCTATGCCAATTCCTAACGACAATTCACAACACTCATCTCTAATGAATTATCTTCAAATAAAATTGCCATGATTACGTTAATCATAAAATTTGCCAATTCCTAGTGACATCTTCATTGTCTCCGAGCTTTGCCTTAAGTTTGGACCGTAACACTGAAAATGTTATAGTTTAATTTTCTTTTCGGGTTAATTGTTTGAGAAACAATTAACTCTCCGGCAGATACATCACATGACGGGATTCACCAAAACTTACAAAAAAAAAAAGTTATTTGTTTGTTTGTTTGTGCAGGTTAACAAGAGAAACTATTAACCATTTTCTTTATCTATGAATCAAAACCAAATTATTGTTTAAAATGCTTTGTAACTTCGAAAATAATGATCGCGCACTTTGAATAATACAAATATAACATATTACGTATTATAATTTTAGGTATAAAACTTAGGTACGGAATGATAATATTCCAGGTATAACTTGCTCAGAAATAGAATTTGTATCATTCGATTCCATTTAGCAAGGTAGGGGAAATAATGTTAGATCATGAGATAGAAGAATGGAATCATTATTTGTGTGTATAAAATATTAAAAAATAAAAACAAAGGAATATATATAATAAAACAAACGAAGGGGGGGGGTTAGGTTGGGTTGTTAGAGAGATTCGTTTCGTTGTTCGGAGGGAAGGGTGAAACGCGTTCCCTTTGCGAGCAGAGCATAATTATGTTTGAAGTTATAAGTTTTGACAAACAATGATTGCGGTATGTTATCTGCCAATTCCATCCTATGTTACCCCAAATTATGTTAGCAATCTGCACTGTAAATTGCGGCGTGTTTCTATTTGGTTGGTTCCTTCAACTTTTTCTAATTCTGTTATTTACCACTCAAATGTTTTGGGCTTTACATAATGTAATATAGTTGCTTGTCATTTCTGTGTGGGTTTTGAAGCTCCCTTCTTTACTGCCTCCTCTGCTTGGATCTCTATATATACGTCACTCTCCTTTCATTTACATGATTCATGTAAATGTCTTTCATTAGGAGATGGAAGAGAGAGAGAGAGAGAGAGAGAGTTGGAAAAGAATTTCGAATGTTCTCAAGAGCTGTAATCCTCTAACTCAGTGGAAGGAATCAAATTGAGTTGATTCCATACCAATTCAGATAGGAGAGTTTGGACTCTGGATTCTTCTTGAATGTTTTCTTGTTAGTCTTCTTCACATGTGTGCTGTTTGCTGCTTTAATTCATAAACAACTGGACACTTTTTGGCAAAAAAATTGTGGATAGAAATGCTCTCATTCTCAAGGTGTCTTATTCCTCAACTTATTTTGGTATAGGATTGTGTATATGACCTCTTTGTAGTGTTCTTCTCTGATTTGTATAGAGATTGGACAGCTTTGCTGTATTTGTTGCCTTATCGTACTTTTCTTTGTCCTGCCTAGCCAGATTCCTTATCCTCCTTTATTTTGTACTTTCCATCTTCTCCTTTTAATAATATCTTTTTCTATCAAAAAAAATTACAGAAAAAGGAAAATTACATGGAAGATTTGAGCCAAATTTTGCAAATATTTGTTTTAGTCTTCACTACTGTATTTGTGCTATTTATAATATATATGGAGAATTTCTGAAACTGTTGTTTAGATTGCAGTAATAACAAGTACTCGATGGCCTTTGTCATTGTTGCTGTGTAAATGGAAGCAGTTGTTGTTGCAAGAGTTTTCCAAGTATATCAGATATTTGTTGGGGATTAAGTGAAATAGACTCAATGGTAAACCCAAAAGTGTCTATTAAACCAAAAATATGCTACAGGCCTTTACGACCTTCTGACCTTGACATTTTAGAGTATATCCATGGCAGACTATTTCCCATCAGGTGAGATCATGGTGCTGATTCGTTGACTTCAAATATAAGCCATTGGAATTGTGTTTACTTAAAAATATTTACAATTCTCAGGTATGAATCTGCTTTTTTCCAAGATGTGGTAAATGGACGCGACATTGTGTCCTGGGGAGCTGTTGACAGTAGTCGGCCAAATGGCCAAAGTGACGAACTCATTGGATTTGTAACAACACGGATTATTCTTGCAAAAGAAAGCGAGGTTGACCCCCTTCATGTTCAATTGTATGCCTGTTGTCTTGATTACTTATGCATTCCATGAAAAAGTTATATGTGCATCATTGCTAGTACTACTTGTGCGGAAAAGAGAACATGTGTTCTGTTTGTACTACTATATGGGAAGGCATCTTTCATGTGGAAAGTGTGGCTATTTAATGCTTTCTTGGTTTAGTTATAGTTACTGGGCTATAAGGGGAGTTATGTAGCAAGTTCTTCGTGGAAAAATTATTGGAAATGTGTTCAATCAATCTTCTTAACCCAGAGATAATATGTCTATGTACAAGCCATGGCCACACGCCAAGACAAACTTGATGGAAAAATATATTCCTTAATGTCCACAGTCTGCTTACATGGCATAATTATTTTATTAGTTTTGTGGTGCTAACCTTTAGATAGTGACTTATTAAAATTTATTTTGCAAGAAATATGTTCAAACAGTCCCATAGGGTAGGCCCTCCTTAAAGTATAAATGTATGAAAGCTTAATGTTTTGTCGATAATTATGAATTTTTTTCTGTGATTATTACTCTTGTAGATTCTGGATGTGCTTGGATGTGACTCAGCCAAATCTGATCAAACTTTAGTCTACGTTCTAACGCTGGGGGTAGTGGAAGCATATAGAGATCATGGAATAGGTAGGAGTTTATTTCGCACACTTCAATTTTCTTGAAGTCCTCCATAGTATAATTGACACCAGTCTAATTTATACCTCATCTGCAGCAACTTCTCTGATTGGAGAGGTCATAAAATATGCTTCGAGTATTCCAACCTGCCGAGCTGTTTACTTGCATGTTATTTCTCACAATGAACCAGCAATCAATTTATACAAGAAAATGTCTTTCAAGTGTGTAAGAAAACTGCAGGGATTTTATTTAATCAATGGCCAACATTATGATTCATTCTTATTCTTGTACTATGTAAATGGGGGACGGTCTCCTTGCTCACCATTGTAAGTACAAAGTACCTTTGAACTTCTATGCCTCAATTTTTTCAGATTGGCTTTGAAATGTTATATTTTAAATGAATCTTTGCTTTTGTCAAAATGATTATTGACTGATTTTAAAAGAATATAATGACGCTTTCTAACTTAGTTTTGGTTTCCGTGCCACATGCATAGATTTTTGTAGTTCCTTTTGTCTAAAAAATAAATCCTTTCCAGAGTTATAATTTCCATTTCACATTTCAGAGAGATTTTCATTGCACTAGTAAGCTACATTAGGAGTGGCTACAAGTCATTGGCTGCAAGGCTATGTAAGAATGAAGGCTGGAAGATCTCAAGGCGGGCAAAGTGTAAAGAAAGCCATTCTCTTGTGACAGCAACACACAACAAAAGAAATGTGACAGTCGAGTGTACTGGTTACGAGTGTGTTTAATTTAATTAATTAATTTAGTTTTAGTTTTCTGTTTTTTTTTTATCATTGAACCTCACTCTTGATTCCCTCTAGAAAGGTCATATTGAAGCCAAAAGTTATATTTATTTATTGTAATTATCATGTCATAATGAACTTCCACGATCCAGTCAATTCACATAGTTAGAAGGTGATATTGATAATCTTCTAAGTTTTATGTGTGTTTAACTTCATTGAGAATAGTAATTGTGATGGTGGAACAGAGAAGAGAACGCAACTGGTTCCGTCTCTTCTAATTAAGAGCACTATGCTGATTCAAAACTTCAGAAATCATAATGTTTGAAATATATGATTCACAAGCCGTGATATCATCTAAGAGTGTTGCATATTCTTGACCCGATGAATGGAAGCAAGAATCAAAACTTGAAGAAAGAAAGAACCATTGCCTTATTCGGTAACTGATAATATGATATATATAAAAATTATAATTTAATCGCAAATAAAAAAGATACTTCATTCAAAGTTAAATGTGAATTAACATAATTAAGTTATTACAAATAATAGGTATGGACGGGTCAATTAATAACCACAAATACAATTTTACTATTATGTATTTAAAGCATTTTAATTATAATTTTTTTTTTCTGAATTTAAAATAACATAATTTAAACATATATATTAAATATTTTTAATAAAATAAATAAATAACTTCAATATGAATTTAAATTAAAAGGGGGATTTAATCGCTATTGAAGTATTGATTTTGTGTACAGCGAGTGTTTACACGTGACAGTTGTAGAATACGTATACGTAGAGGAGGGGATCCCACTCTTACGGGAAGTGAAAGAAAGAAAAAAAGAAAAAAAAAATCTGAAAATCAGAGGCTGTGTTGTGTGCTGGGTGGCGGAGTTTATAATATCCTCAACCCCTTTGTGAATTTAGTTTCTTTGTGTTGTAGCTATGGCTATGGCTGCTTCAACTTCAACTTCAACTTCAACCTCAACCTCTATCTCTGTCGTTGGAAGTGGCCTCGGCCTCCCTCATCCTCATCCTCATCCTCTTCACCCTCACGCAAGAACCTCTACTCGTTTTCCCACTCGATTGCGTAACAATCGTTTATTCTTATCTTCTTCACTTTCGCTAAGGTACTTCTTTCTATCTCTTCTTTAATTGCTCGTACTTCCAATTTGAAAGCTCTACTATGTTTCATATAATAATAGCTAACGTGTTTTGAGCGCGCCTCAAATCTTGATCCTAATTCATTGAATATGCTCATCCATTAAGTGCATTTCGTTTTCCCCCAAACTAGTGTTGTTGTTTTGCATCTGTATATATTAACATTCGTATTTTCTCTTCTGGTGAAAGAAGGCGGCATAACGCTGTTCATGGTGGATTGAGTTTGCGAAGGAATAAGGCTGATGCCTGGAAAAACTATACTTCCGTTCTTGGTGAACCGGCGGCACCTTCATTTTTCTTGCCACACCAAAGCTGCACCTCTTGCTGTCTTGCCTCCACCAAGAGACGCCGTTCAAATCTTGCAAGATGTGTTTCTGGACCTTTTCTTGATAAATCTGATTTCCAGTTATCTAACCGTCATGCTTTAGTAAGTATTCCGACTTCAATTTTGGCTGATAGGTATTCATTCAGTACGGTGCTTGACTTTTTGATGCGAGCTGTGTCACAAGATAAGGACTCTTTGGTTCATTTTTGATTGGATCTTTATGTATACCTCATCTCAAAATCACTTTCTGCCTGGACATAATAGAATCTGAATGTTAAATTTATGATTATTATTATTATTATTCTTTTTTGTGGAGTGGGAAAGGGGGGTATGTTTGATTCTTGAATCATCTCGCTATGTTACCCTTCAAGATTTTTAGTACTACTCATTTTCCAAATAAAAATAAAACAAGGCAGGGTCTCTTTTGTCAAATTTTACGTTGTTGTAACTAACATGTTCATTGAATCTTTTCATATTTTTCTTGCTGAAAGAATTTTCATGCTACCAATATTTAGTGCAATCCGATGCTTGAAATTTCATGTTTTATGTTGAAGCTTCTGGTACGCATGGGTAGATTTTGAGACAGTATCATCCTTGTATAGTCTTCCAATGTTTATGTTTTGAGTTCTGCTTTTTATGTTGTCTGCTTATGATTGGATTGCATTTAGGAATGGTTTATATTCTTTTTGCATAAGATCAGAGCTGGTTGTGTTGATGTATTTTCTCAGGTCAAGCGGGCTCAACTTCCTCAGGCAACTGTTGGTCCGGATGAGCCACACGCAGCAAGTACAAGCTGGCCAGATGGTATTGCTGAAAAACAAGATTCAAGTGTATTTGATTCTGAACTAGAGCAGATAGAGGGCTTTTTAAGTTCTGAACTTCCATCTCACCCTAAACTGCATCGAGGTCAACTAAAGAATGGGCTGCGGTATCTTATTCTGCCAAATAAAGTTCCACCAAAAAGGTGAGCTCAATAAATGATGATAGATTAATGACATATGGACTCTGAGATGGAATGCCTTATGATGTATTAAGAAAGGTTTGCATGATGTTTCTATCATCTTTAGGAATTACTTCCAAAACTAGGGTGTGTTTTAATGTGGAATTGTGGGCTCACCGATTTATCATCCTTGACTTTGTTTATTATGCTGTTCTAATCATCAAAATCAAGGGTATGATAGAAGATATTCTAATACCTATGTATTTGGGGTTTTTTTATTTTTATTTTGGGGGGGGGGGGGGGGGTACTTGCTAGTGGCAAATTGTTTTGTCTCTTTTCAATTCCCCCGCTAGGGACCTCACCTCAGTGCCTTAGCCTAGTGTTCTTTGTGGTTGTTGTTTCTGCAAGAATGCTATGAGGACAACTCATAGGTTTTAATGGTGAAATGTATTTAATATAAAATGTGATTGTGAAGAGTGTTCTTACATGAAATGTATATATGACATTAATACCTTTGAAGTGAATAAGTTAATGTGCAATCACATGACTTGGAGAATATTTATTAATAAAATTGATACACTCAATGTTTATATAGTTTTATATTTTCTCTTTTAAACATTGTTTTGCTGTAATATGCCAATGGTAAGAAATCCATATGCAGATTGTCTAGAATGCACTTGTTGCTAAATACTTAGTATCAACTGATTCAATTTTAGGTTTGAAGCACACTTGGAAGTTCATGCAGGATCAATAGATGAAGAGGATGACGAACAAGGAATTGCACATATGATTGAACATGTTGCTTTCCTAGGAAGTAAAAAACGTGAGAAGCTTCTGGGAACAGGAGCCCGTTCAAATGCTTATACTGATTTTCACCATACAGTGTTTCACATCCATGCTCCTACCACTACTAAGGTTTGGGCCATCTTGCGTGTATGTGATGTGTTCAAATATTTCATTTGGAATTGTGGATGTTTATTGAACTTTGTTTTGTTACCGAATACTTATTTAATTTAAGCAGATGACAATAGGGCAAAATGAAATTAAGAGTGAGGTGAGGTTTGGAACCCTACCGTGAGAGGGACACCTCGTGAGTCGGGCTTCTAGAGATGAGGCCATTTGGCGAAGTCAAGTCGATTTTGGGCCACCAAACCCTGCAACTGATGCGAATGCTTATGGAGTAAAGAGTGGAGTGTATGTTGTCACTCTCCCTGCCTTCAAAAGGTTCCTAGAGGACAGGCCTTAGGAATGCAAACGACAACCTAGGAGTGGATTCCCCACCGGTAGGGCCACAGATGGCCCATCTTGGGGCCCATCACGACCTACAAGCAAGACTGGCAAGATATGGGTAGACAACCTGATTGGGAGTCTGAGGATCCATAGTGCCTGCTGCCCTCTGGACTTCTTCATCATCATTTTTAAAAATGGGGGAAGGGATCTCCTTTCTTGAATTGATAAAAGGGAGTAGATTTGACTGTACACAACTTAACGATGGATCCAATACCAATGATATTACCCCATGGCCCATGTGAAAGTGCATTGTGCAACATCACATTAAGGGAGAAATTTAAATAATTCCCCCAGGTCGTCCACATGATTACCATAATTAAATAGGGAAACCTGAGTCTAGCTTGCCACCAATGAATGTTTGTGACTTCTGTTACAACTGAACTGGGACAGTCAGGTGCATCCATTGGATTCGAGGGACTAGGGTATATAGTCTAGTCCATTTTTCCGTGTCCAATGTTCTACACATAAGAAGGACTGGATTACAACTTTTTTTAAAAAAAGAAGAAGAAGAAAGAAAGCATGAAAAAAATGCTAAATTATATCCTTCACAGTAGTTGATGTTTGACAGTTGTCTATTTTATGCATTGTCTCCGGTCATAAACCGCTATTATTTCCACCCCTGAATTTGTCAGAACTTTCTTTGAACTTTTATTTTTTAATTTCTGTTTATCAATTTCGGCCTTATCAATATTTCCCAATATGTACTCTGCATTTTTCTTAAATCTGTTTGTATCTCACAACTAGGCTTTATGATTCTTTAGCATTTAATTTTTGCTACCACCCATCATCTAAAACAATCTGAAAGTGAAGATGTCACATCTTGTTTTTTCAATATATTTATGTGTGCATTGAATCGTGTTGAATGGTTTGATATTTTGTTGATGCTAATTATAAATGGTTGCTGTATGTCAGGATTCTGACGGGGATCTACTTCCATTTGTTTTGGATGCCTTGAATGAGGTATACTTTATTTCATACCATACAAGCCACTTCTACTTTGTAGAAATGCGTATATAATATATTAGCTTTAACATGGTGTTCCATCTGATCCATGTCTTATATACCTTGATGCTTTTGTTTGACCCTACCTGATCCATCCCTAGAGGGATTTAAGGGGACAATAGAATGGATATGGTACTTCTAGGTTTGCATTTACTCACACCTTATTGTTATTGACGCATGCAGATAGCTTTCCACCCAAAGTTCCTTGCTTCTAGAATTGAAAAAGAACGGCGTGCTATACTCTCAGAGCTTCAAATGATGAATACAATAGAGTACCGGGTTGATTGCCAGGTTTGCAACAGAAAATCCCTTGGAAGTTTAGGCCTATCAACTTGATGTTTCCACATAATATTGACTCAAGCTTTTTTTTATTCCTATTTGCTTTTCTTTTAATTTCTTTAATTGCAGTTGTTACAGCATCTGCATTCTGAAAACAAGCTGAGCAAAAGGTTTCCAATTGGATTAGAAGAACAGATAAAGAAATGGGATGCAGAT